GCTGGTTGTAGCTTCCATTTGCATGTAGCATCATGATATATGTTGGCATGTGAGGTTTACTTACCGCTCTTTTGGTGGGTGATCATGTGTACGATTTTTGATCTGGAAGAGACTAGGAAATTTTACTAAGAAATCCCCACAGACGGCGCCAAATTGTTTGACTAAAAGATATTGAAATCTTTTTTATTAAATCAATTAAAGAAGATGAAGAGGTAAATCTTAGTCATATATAGTAAATTCCAGATCTACAGACAAATCGGGAGATGATGTATAAGATAAAATAGAAATGACCAATCTAGTTGATCTTTTTCATTTCATTTTTCACCGATTGATGGAGATCATCCCTTTACATAATGAGTGGAAGATTGTTTTATCTTCCTTTTGTTAGTAAGATTATAGAGGAGAGGAAAGAGAAAAAGCCCCCCTTTCTAGGAAGGTTCCCTCCCTATATATAGTTATGGAATCCTTGCAACGTTCTCGGGTCAAGGCACCTTCATACCACATCCGTTTTTGTCGTTCCCTAAGTATTGTTATTCGATTTAACAAGCACTGTGAGTACGTGATTTGGAACAAATCATGGCATCTTTTACTATCTTGCCGCTTGGACGGGGTTCGGTTGGGTCGACCACAAAGGTCAGATTTTGACTAATACAGTAGTAACCTAGTTATTTCTAATGGCGGAAGGATAAGAAGAAGTAGAAGTTATGTGGAAGAGAGGGAGAACGTTGGGGAAATGAGGCTTTGGCTTTGTTTCGTTAGCTTCCACTGATGATACCAATTTCACTACTACTGTTCGTCATTGTCTAATTCCATCACTGATTGTGGTAAAGTCTTGTATGTTCAGCCGTTCTGAATCGCATCTAGTAGAGAGGGAATTTCTCTGCTTGTTCGAAGATTCTTCTCACGTTATTCGCTCTTTCGGTTAAAGTTACGCTAGAAGACGGTGTTCTCCTCTACAACTTATAGTTAGAATATGCATCTGGTGGAAGTTAAAAAACACACCAAAATTATCGTTTTAGGGCTTAGTTGCATTCATGGTGTGGGAATCATTCACTGCGATATAAAGCCTCACAACATTCTACTTGTTACTCCTACTGATGATGATACAACATAGATTTCCAAGATCGCTGATTTCGGTCTTGTTATGACTTTGGATTAGAGCTGGACACAAAAGCAAGGACGCAGGGGAACTAAAAGGTACATGGCACCTGAATTCGTGCTTAAGCGGGAGTACAGTCCAGAGGCGGATATCTGGGCTCTTAGCTGCACTGTCTACGAATTGATCACTAGGACACCCCTATGGAATCATCCAATTCTTATGCAAAGGTTGATGATGTGTTACACCGAATCGGGTATAAGGAACTAAGTTTTGAGAGTGCGAAACTGTCAGCAGAGGCAAAAGATTTTGTAAGAAGTTGTCTGGTCAAGAATCCGAGCTCGTGTTGGACTGCCGACATGCTCTTGAATATTTCTTTTATGAAATCAACCAACAATGTGCAGCCTACAACAAAGACAAGGAAGAAGCAAAGTGGTTACATTTCCCTTTTGCGCAGACCCCATCGAAAAACATCATTCAAGACACAGCCACACATTAGCGATTTGGTTATAGAGCATTGATGCATGATCAGAATGCACCTGCTGAATCTGAAGAAAGTAGAGAACGGAATTCATGAAAGGCTGCTAGCTACTGACAGTAGATAGATGATTCATGAAAGAAAATTCATTTATTGTATATGTAAAAGAACAGTGTGTGGGCTTGATCCCCCTTTAGGATTTGTTTGGGGCACATAGGTAGCCTGCAACCAAGATGATCAGGTGCAACCCCTTCTTAGTTAAAAAAACAATACAATTGAATACTGTATATGTAAAGAACTACGTGTGGGCTTGATCCCCCTTTTAGGATTTGTTTTGGGGGTACGTAGGCAGCTTATGATCAAGATGATCTCAGGTGCAGCCCCTTTTTATTCAAAAAAATAAACTGTGTCTATGCTTATAGTCGATGAACACACCTTACAAAGAAAAGGTTTCTTCTTGTATGTGATTTTTAGATATCGCTTATTGGCACTAGTTTTGTAGTACATGTCTCAGTATTGGTATATTTGTATTACTGATTGTTTTTAAGCCAAAAATGGTTAATTCCTTTGTGAAGTTGTGATCACGTAATCTTATTGCTTTTGGTTTAATTACACCCCTACCTCTTTAAATTGAATCATTTCTTGAAAAGATTTGTTGTTTTGTTAATCAACAGATAGACCTGCTTCTTTGTATTTTTTGCTTTGGCATTATTATAAGTAGTTGACTTGTTCAGCTATTATGAATTGATAAAGTTGTATCTGTTGTTACTTTTATGTATGCTATTGTATCATCACGTGTTATCATTGTTGCATCTATTTGGCATTCTGGTAACACAGCATGTGATGAGTGATGACTTGAAAAAGTCGTAAGTAGCTTGACGAAAAGCTATAGGTGTCCCTCTTGTGAATTGACCATATTGAGCTCAACTTCTTTCCCAAGCCAAATCATCATTCGTGATGGATCGATCCGCCGCCGCTTCATTAGACAAATCTATTGAAGCCGAAGCTGACTTAGCTATCACTTTAGACCCGAAAAATGCCACAACTCACATACTCGAGGCTTTAGCTCTCGATTTGTAGGGATTTAAGACGTAAGATCTTGATTCGATTGAGCACTTTCGCCGCTCATCGTGAAGTCGCAATCAGAGCTGGAGAAAGCGGATGCTTTGTTTAAGCGAGCTGAGTTGAGACTCACTGTGAGTCGACGCGAACAAGTTGACTCGATCGTTGAAGATTTGACTGAGTCAGTTCGGTTGAAGGGCGATAATGTTAAGGCTTTTTGTTTTTTGGGAGATTATGCACAATAGCCATTAAGAGCACATGTCCTTAGTTTAAAGCCAGTGTTTTAAATGTCTTTAGTCTTTAGCCACTGGTTGAATAAACTTTTACCTGACTGGACGAAAATACCCTTCTGCTATAACCTATACCTACGCTTTTATTAACGTTTACCTGACTAGACGATTAGCAGCAGTAGTAGCAGACTGTGATCGTCGAATTTCAAACTCTAGAATTGCAGAAGCTTCTCTTCTGATTTGAAACTATCGAATTCAACTTTCTCCTCCAAAAATCGACATAAATTTACAGTAAGTTATGCTTTTGTGTGTTTCTATTGATTTTTATTTCGTTACCATGAATTTGATGCTAGGAATTTGACTATTTTTTGAATTTCTGGATTGATAAGGTTAAGGACATCACGTCATGTGATAATTCTATAAAAATTAAGCACATAATGTTAAGGATTTGGTGTCCTTAACATGACCGTTGTTACTAATATTAAGGATATAGTGTCCTGATTTTGCCAATTGAATTGAAAAAGTTAAGGACACAATGTCCTTAACTTTTTTGTTGTTCTTCTGAATATTAAGGACATATTATCATAGTTTTGCAAATTGTTTTGAAAAAGTTAAGGACACTTGGTCCTGAAGTTTGAGTTTCAAGTTAAAAAGTAAGGACACTTGTTCCTGAAGTTTGAGTTTCAAGTTGAAAAGTTAAGGACACTTGGTCCTGAACTTTGAGTTACATGTTCAAAAGTTAAGGACACTTGGTCCTTAACTTAGAGTTACAAGTTAAAAAGTTAAGGACATGCAGTCCTTAACTTCAAGTTTCAAGTTTAAAAGTTAAAGACACTTGATCCTTAACTTTGAATTCCAAGTTCAAAAGTTAAGGACACTTGGTCTTGAGCTTTTATTTACAAGTTCAAACGTTAAGGATACTTGGTCCTTAACTTTGAATTCCAAGTTCAAAAGTTAAGGACACTTTGTCATTTACTTACAGTTCCAAGTTCATAACTTAAGGACACTTGGTCCTGAACTTTAAGTTCCAAGTTAAAAAGTTAAGGAAACTTGGTCCTGAAGTTAAGGACACTTGGTCCTGAAGTTAAGGACACTTGGTCCTGAAGTTAAGGACACTCGGTCCTTAACTTTAAATTCCAAATTCAAAAGTTAAGGACACTTGGCCCTTAACTTGGTCTTGAACTTACAGTACATGTTTTTAATTATACAAGGATTGCTCTTTAAAATATGTTCTGAGTTTCCCATTTTCGTGACTTGCAGGATGGAAACAATATGCATTATAGTTGCTTTTAATGGTAGCTGGAGTGAATACTATAAGTATCTTGATCATCAAACAAAACTTGTTTTAGTACCTAAGGCAATTCGGTTTGAAGATTTCATTAAACAGATCTTTGAAGTTATTGAATTGGATAGAGACGAGTTTGAAGCAGTGATATGGTTAGATATCAACCTTGGAACAATCAAGGGAATGCTTGTATCCAAAGATTTAGATCTTCAAACATATATAGAGTTACTAAAAAGTCATTCACTCTTCAAAGGCTGTCGTTTCATTGTTGATATTTCGGAAAGAGTTTTTGGATCAACAAGCACCTTTGAACATGTCAACAGAGAAACTCAACATGACAATCAAAATAAATGCCAACAGATAATGGAAATAGATATGGTTGAAGCTCAACCAATAACTGAAGATGTGCTTTAAACATTTGATTCTATTCAAGTAGAAGGACAAAGCATTATAGAGATTGACAACGAACAAGCTTTGGGTATTCAAGTCTTAGAGAGTGCACCGGTAATCGAAGAAGTTGCTGAAAAACCTCTACTCAACTAACTAGACGAAGGTCAAATTTGAAAAAAAAAAGAATCCTGAACTACGATATTAAGAGAAAATGCTTTGTTGGATGAAATAAAAGTGGGATCAATATTTGACAAAAAGAAGAGTATAATTAACTATTTTTCGAATATAGCAATTAAAGGACATTTTGAATTCAAGGTTGTTAGATCAAGCTCAACAAGATATTCGTTGAAATGCAATGATGATAGGTATGGGTGGTGTGTGCATTCTTTCAGAATTAAAGATTCAACACTGTTCAAGATAGTAAAGATTGAGAAAAATAATGACTGCTCTGTTAACACTATGAAAGTTGATCAAAGGCATGCAACTTCAAAGTTGATTAGTGGTTACATTATTGACAATCTTCGAGACCCAAGGTTTGAAGTTACACCAGCTTTTGTCATGGCAGAAATGCAAAAATTGCATGGACTAGACATTGGGTATCATAAGGGATGGCGTGCTACTCAATGTGCTCTCTCTTTAATAAGAGGAACTCCTGAAGAGAATTATGAATTATTGTCTTCATACTTGTATACGATGAGAAGTAAAAACCCGGGAACACATACTAACATAAAGATAGACGACAACAACAGGTAAACAATCAAAAAAAATTATTAGTCTGTTTTATAAACTTTAGGACATGCTGTTTTTAACCAGTTAAAAAGTTAAGGAAGTGTTGTCCTTAACTTTCATGTGTGTAGTCAAAAAGTTAAGGACACTTGGTCCTTAACTTAGAATTGCAAGTTATAAAATTAAGGACATGGTGACGTTAACTTTTGACCTTGTTAGTCTAAGTTAAGGACTCCATGTCCTTAACTTTTGAACTTTGAACTCAAAGTTAAGGACTGCATGTCCTTAACTTTATAACTTGTAACTCTAATTTAAGGAATGCCTGCTCTTAAATTTTGACCTTGTTAGTCTAACTTCAGGACTACTTGTTCTTAACTTTTGTCCTTGTAACCAGAAGTTCAGGACTACCTATCCTTAACTTTTGACCTTGTTAGTCTAAGTTAAGGACTGCATGTCCTTAACTTCTGTTAACCTTGTTTTATATTGTATTTTTAGGTTTCTTTATATGTTTTATGCATATGGATCATCAATATCTGGTTGAAATCATTGTAGACCAGTGATTGCTGTTGATGCAACTTTTTTGAAGTCAAAATTTTGTGGTGTTTTAATGATTTCAGTTTCAAAAGATGCAAATAACCAAATTTTCCCACTAGCCTTTGGAATAGCAGAATCTGAAAATAACAATTCCTATGAGTGGTACTTTAGTGAGCTTCGCAATGCAATTGGAAGTCGTGAGAATTTATTTTTTTTATCAGAAAGGCATCAATCTATTGCATATGCCATCGCAAAGGTATATTCTGAAAGCCATCATATGATTTGTATCTATCATTTGGAGCAGAACCTAAAGCGAAGGAAAGTGAAAAGTGAGGTCATAAAACTTTTTCAAACTGCTGCAAGAGTATACAGGCGCAAAGAATTTGATCTTTACATGTCAGATATAGAAGTAGATAAGAAGACTTATGACTATTTGATGGAAGAACCACCGGAAAGGTGGGTACGTTTTTGTAGTCCACGACGAAGATATGACATGCTCACAACAAACACAGTTGAGTCAATGAATTTTGTCCTATTAGAAGCAAGGGAGCTGCCTATATTAAGAATGATGGATTTCATTCAAGTGAAGCTACAACGTTGGTTTTATTAAAGGAGAAATGAAGCAGAAGGAACTTTTTATGATGTTTCTTGTTGGGTAGAAGAGGAATTGAAGAAAAAGATAGATTTAGCATTTACTTGGAATGTAAGTATTATGTTCTATGTTTAGGTTATTATTTTAATATAATTTAACATAATATAGTAACTTATAATTTTTCAACATTAAAGGTCTTCCTTGTTGATTCATGGCGTTCTAGAGTTGAAGAAGAAGGAATAACTTTCTTGGTGGACTTAAACAAAAGAACATGTGATTGTTTTCAGTTTCAATTTGATGAATTACCATGTATATATGCAATTGCAGCTATCGAGAAGAGAAACATCAAGAAGTCCAACTTTTGCTCGCATTAGTACTTAAAGGAATCTTGGCTGAAAACATATGAAAGACAAATACATCCTGTAGGACATACTGATTCTTGGATTGTACCAGAGAGTGTTAAGTCACAAATTGTTAAACCTCCAGATTTCAAAGTGCCACCAGGTAGAAGGCAGAAGAAAAGGCATATTGCAGCTATCGAGTCATCAAAAATAACATTCAAATGTGGTCGTTACAGAAGAATTGGCCATAATAGAACAACTTGTATATATTCTCCGGCAGTCCATCCATTTTTAAGAAAGCATAGAGAATAATAGATATATCCACTTATGTTTATCGACTCTTTTAAGTTTTTGCTATAAATTGGATTCATTTAGATTATTATTATTATTTGAGCAGATGTCTGAATTTTCAAAATTTCTTTCTACTTACGTTCTTTTTGTTTCTTTTGAGTTCAAAGTTCAAAAGTTAAGGACAGACAGTCCTTATGTTTGACTTACAGGTTCAAAACTTAAGGACAAGCAGTCCTTAATTTTGAGTTCAAAGTTCAAAAGTTAAGGTCTGTTTGTCCTTAACTTTGACTTACAAGTTCAAAAGTTAAAGATAGATAGTCCTTAACTTTGACTTACAAGTTCAAAAGTTAAAGATAGATAGTCCTTAACTTTGAGTTTCATGTTCAAAAGTTAAGGCCATGAAGTCCTTAACTTTGACTTACAAGTTGAAACGTTAAGAACACTTGGTCTTTAACTTATAATTCCAAATACAAAAAATAAGGACACTTGGTCCTGAAGTTTGAGTTCCAAGTTCAAAAGTTAAGGATTCAATTTCAAAAGTTGAGGACACATGGTCCTGAACTTAGACTTTCAAGTTGAAAAGTTAATGACACTTGGTCCTGAAGTTTGAGTTTCAAGTTCAAAAGTTAAGGACACTTGGTCCTGAAGTTTCAGTTTCAAGTTCAAAAGTTAAGGACACATGCTCATAAACTTTGACTTACAAGTTCAAAAGTTAAGACAATTGGTCCTGAACTTTAAATTTGAAGTTCAATTACATTTGGTCCTGAACTAATACTTACAAGCTCAATGGACAAATCAATACTTGACAGAAACAAAGAAATTAATAACATGATGCCTTCATATTACTTCTGAAATTGTAATTTTGCATAGTTGTGACAAAAAATTATGCTATGCAAACAAAATAAAAGTGCCTTTTGAGGAATTTACAATATATTTGAGAATTCGTTTGGATTCTTTACAGCAACTTTATACAAAAAATCAACCACAACTAACTTTCTTTACAACTAAAGTACAGCTCTTTTGGACAACAAGTTTCATTTTCACTATCATAGTCGTCGTCAACATTTTCTGGTGGTGTGTCATAACTAGAATTTCTTTTCCACTCTCCATGTGCCCAAAGATTTGCTGCAAGTTCTTTTCTAAAGTCTTTTATGTCTTCAGGTTGGAAATTCTCCACATCCTTTCCCATCATCAACAACTCCACATACTTGATTAAGAATGCACGACAATCAGTCCTAAGAAAAATGTAAGATATGGAGTCAATTAAATAATAAATCTAAAGTACATATAAATTATATAGCAAATAATAACACGTATGATCCAGTTTAGTGTGGTGATCTTTGCCACTGACTATCAAATTTGTTGAATGCATTTCCAAAAGACTTGTGATGTTTCTCAAACTGTGAGAACTTTAGCAAGTGGAGGATCATATGTGCATACATTTTAATGTGATTCATTCCTGCCTCATATGGCACACTATATATGGAATTGTACACATCAATCTTTTTCTCATTCAAGTTCAATACCCCTAAAAGAAAATGTGGCACATCATTATCATCCTCTGAAGGAAGCCGACATGGAAAAAAGATGTTGTCAACTTCTGTCCAAGCAATTCCACATCTACGACTGTCACTGTCACGACCCTAAACCCGGATCCGGTCGTGCCTCTCATGAAGACAAGGTCAGCCGACACATTCCCATTTCAATTTTAAGCAATTAAAATAATAAGTATTAAGTCTTAAACATGATAAATTCCAAAATAAGTAGTAAACAATACAATTTGCGGAAAACAAACCCATCACAACCCGGTACCGGGGTGTCACCAGTCATGAGCATCTATAAATTTAATAAAAGTCTGAAGCATCTATAAAGCTATTATAGAATCACTAATAAGGGAAAGGAAATGAGATAAAGGGGGAGAAGCACGGGGCTGCGAACTCCGAGCAGCTACCTCGTGGACTCCGAAATTTGCGGGGAGCTCTCAACCCTCGCAAGCAGGATCAGAAGTGCCTGAATCTGCACACGGGGTGCAGGGAGTAAAGTGAGTACTCCAATTCAGTGAGTAATAATCATAAATAAAGGCTGAGAAGTAAGAAATCACGTAAGACACATAACAGACTATAAGGAAGCAGTAAAAGCCAGTAGAAATAGTGTTGCAGTAAAGATGTGTAAAATCACTAAGTTCAGTTTAAACTTCATAAAATGCCTTTTTAACAATTAAGCAAGCAAATGATAGGCAAATAAGAAAGATAAACACATAAAGAATCGCTCCTCGAGCACAATGTCAATAAATCCGCCCCTCGGGCAATATCTCAGAAACAAAACCAGCCCATCGGGCTATATCTCACATCACAATGGGTACCCATGCTCACTAGGGGTGTGTAGACTCTTGGAGGGGCCCCTTACAGCCCAAGCGCAATATCAAGCCATCTCGTGACATAATCACATAGGCTCTCGGCCTCATATCAATAAGATACCTCGTGGCGTACAAATCTCAGGATCTCGGCCTCATAATCATAATTAGTGTTCCTCACAACATAGGCCCTCGGCCTTACTCAGTTAGAACCTCATAAGCCGCGCAGAAAACAGTAAAACATGATGCTCAGCCTAAAATATCTTTGAAAGTATCATTTAGTGTTTAAAACAAAGTAAACATGGCTGAGTTATGAAAATAGTAGAATATAGCATGACTGAGTTCAAGTATAAAGTCAAAACAGTGAGGAATTGTCAGTAAAAATCCCCTAAGGGTTCAAATAGTTGGCACGAGGCCCAAATATGGCATTCAGCCCAAAACATGATGATAGCAAATAGATTTCAGTCAAATACGCGGTAAAATAATCAATCGAGATGGACTAAGTCACAATCCCCAATAGTGCACGACACTGCGCTCGTCATGTAGCATGTGCATCACCTTAATATAGTACAACGATGTGCAATCCCGGGTTTCATACCCTCATGACATCATTTACAATTATTAGTCACCTCGATCCGGTCCAAACTCTATCCCACGATGCCTTTGCCCTCATGAATCGACCTCTATATGCTCCAAATCTAGCCACAATCAGTACATAACTATTAAAATATGCTAAGGGAACAAAGCCCACTCGAAAATATCCAATTTACATCAAAAATTCCGAAATTACTCAAACCCGGCCACCGGGACCACGTCTTGGAATCCAACAAAATTAACATCTACGGAATCCTCATCCTCTCACGAGTCTATACATATCAAGAACATCAAAATCGGACCTCAAATGGCCCCTCAAATCCCCACTCAAATGTCTCTTAATCTCAAGCCCTAATTACCCATTTTTGCACTGATATTTCCCAAACTTTCACCACTAATTAAGCCTTTAATCACATATAAACGAGTTATGAAGTCAAAAATCTTACCTCCACGAGATTATCCTTTGGTTTCCTCTTCAATTAGCTCTCCAAAGCTTTCTCCCGAATGAAATATGGTGAAACCCCCTAAAAATCGCGAAGGGAACATTTTTATACTTTCTGACCCAGGCATTTTCGCACCTGCAGTCCCTTTCCTACTTCTGCGGTATCGCTTCTACGACCAAAACCACCACATCTGCGGTTTTCATTAAATTGGAAATTACTACATCTATGGTTAAAAACTCGCACTTGCACTACCGCAGGTGCACCCACTTCACCGCTTCTGCGGTTCCTGAAGAACTTCCTCTTGGCCGCATCTATAGCTGCCTTCCACTTCTGCGATCATCGCACTTGTGGCCTCACAACCACAAGTGTGATTATGACAGAAACCAAAAGCTTCAGCTGCAAAAACTCAATTCCAATTCTTTCGTCACCCATCCGGAATCACCCCGAGGCCCCCGGGACCTCAACCAAAACCACAAACAAGTCACATACCATCAGTCAAATTTGTACCAATCTTCAAAACACCTCAAACAATATCGAATCACCCAAAACACATCGGATTCAAGCCTAAACTTCCAAAATCTTCCGAATTACGCTTTCGATCAAAAAGTATACCAAACCACGTCCGAATGACCTGAAATTTTGTACACACGTCACATATGACACAACGGACCTGCTCCAACTTCCGGAGTTCCATTTCTACCATTATATCAAAATCTTTCCTATCAACCGGAAAATGCCAAAATCCCATTTTTGCCAATTCAATCCTAAACCTTTCCATTGACCTCCAAAACACAGTTCGATCACGCTCCCAAGTCACAAATCACCTAATGAAGCTAACCAAATCTTAAAAATTCCGATCCGAGATCATATACCAACAAGTCAAATCTTGGTCAAACCTTTCAAATTTTAAACTTAAAACTGAGAACTGTTCTTCCTAATTCATTCTGATTACCCTGAAAAAAGCAAAACCAACTATTCACATAAGTCACAATACATCACACAGGGGTAGTCATGCCTGAGAACTGGCAAGCAAAGTGCAAAATCCCAAAATGACCGATCGGGTCTTTACAGTCACCCCACACATATGGTGTCAGAAACAATTGATTATCACCACACCAAACTTATTTGCAGCATCTTCATTAAAATCCTTATACACAAGCACCATATAGTTATCAAAAAGTATATTTGTAGTTGTGCAACAAAAAGGATGGTTGCGAGGGTGGTAGCATTCCTTCTTTCTCAGATAATATAGGGCAATGTCAATATGCTTCATAAAAAGGCAAAAAATAATACAAATCCATCAGTCATAAAATAATTAAAAAATGATAAATTAAGAATAAAGAAAATAAATG